GGGGGGGGGTGACTCACTTGGCCAGTTCCAATCATCTTAACTTGCTGCTGCATGGGTGGTCTGTCTTTTGGTTTTGAAAAGATGGCAGCTATGCACAGGACAATGATTTATGAGGGTTGACCTGATGGCTTATTTTTTTTTATTGGTGGTTGGCGGGTGCTCTTGTGTGGTTTGCTTCTTCTTTCCCATCAAACATCTATCGACTTTATCTCTCTCCCCTCCTTCTTTTTTTGTGTTTGTTGCTCTCTTGTAACACATCTCTAATCTTCGGCACTTATATGACCGTATTGTGTTTCAAGTGCTGTATAACTCTTATACGAAAACTATATTTTGTTGTCGTGTGCCCTCAGGACTGGTGGCGGGGGCGTCTGCTGAGAGACTTCATCCACAAGAGGGACATCAACACAGTCAATGGATGTATCGCTATGTACTCCATGGATGAGCCGACCGACACCTCAGGTGAGACTGTCTTTCTGTGTGTGTGTGTGTGTGTGTGTGTGTGTGTGTGTGTGTGTGTGTGTGTGTGTGTGTGTGTGTGTGTGTGTGTGAGGGACATCAACATGGTCAACGGGTGTATCGCTATGTACTCTATGGATGAGCCGACTGATACCTCAGGTGAGACAGTTTTTCTGTCTGTCTCTGTGTGTGTCTGTGTGTGTGTGTGTGTGTGCGTGCGTGTGTGTGTGTGTGTGTGAGGGACATCAACACAGTCAACGGGTGTATCGCTATGTATTCCATGGATGAGCCGACCGATACCTCGTGTGTGTGGGGGAGGGGGGGGGGGCATCAACACAGTCAACGGGTGTATTGCTTTCCTCTCCGTTGTTTCTGTCTGTCTGTCTGTCTGTCAGTCTGACTTTTTCCAGCACTAAGTGACCCTTAGTATGTCGATGTGCTCCTTTTTTCTCAAACAAAACAAAACCAAACAAAGCGTTTCTCTATGTGTTTCCTTTTCCTCTGTTGCAGACACGGTGACCAGTTCTCACAGCGCCAACCCCAAGGAGAGCTCCAAATACTTCTATGCCAGGATCAGGTAACTAGCTCGTCTCCTTCTTTCCCTTCAAACATCTCACGTTTTTGTATTTGTTACTCTCTTGTAACATCTCAAATCTCCGGCACTTACTCAACCTTATTGTGTTGCAAGTGCTGTAAAACTCTTACTAAAACTAAACGTATGAAAAAAAATTTTTGTGGGTGGTTGGCGGGTGCTCTAGTTTGGTATGTTCCTTCTTTCCTATCAAACATCTGTCATCCTTATTTCCCCTCCTTCTTTTTTGTGTATGTTACTCTCTTGTAACACTTCTAATCTTCGGCAATTACATGACCTTATTTTGTTGCAAGTGCCGTAAAACATTACTAAAACAAAAAAAAAAAACTTTTTTGTGTTTGTTACTCTCTTGTAACATCTAAAATCTCTGGTACTTACACAACCTTATTGTGTTGTTGCAAGTGCTGTAAAACTCTTACTAAAACTAAACGTATAATGAAAGTAATTTTGGATCTCCTCCTCCAGGCGTTTCCGCAAGCTGGGAGCGGGCTTCAACATCCAGAACGTGGTGTCCTTCTGCCCGTTCATGATGATGATCACCTACAAGGAGATGCAGGAGAGTGAGGAGGAGGCCGGGGTACCCAAGAAAGGGATGATGCTCTACTGTCACCCGCTGGTGTCTGCTTACGAAGGTAGGCTGAGCTGCCCTTAAGTTTTATGAGCCCTGTAAGAGGAAAAGATAGTAGGAATATGAGCCCTGTAGAGGAAAAGATGGTAAGAATATGAGCCCTGTAGAGGAAAAGGAGGAAAACATAGTAGGAATGTGATCTCTGTTGAGGAAAAGACGGTCGGAATATGATCCCTGTTGAGGAAAAGATGGTCGGAATATGATCCCTGTTGAGGAAAAGATGGTAGGAATATGATCCCTGTTGAGGAAAAGATGGTAGGAATTGCTTATGAATGTAGGCTGCACTGTCAATAAGTTTTATGAGCCCTGTAGAGGAAGAGATTGTAGGAATCGGTACAAAAATATTTGATTGCGGAAATGGTATTGAAAGGGGATTTGAAAAAGGCATGACAAGACTGGAGTATTCTTATGACGAGGAAAACGGTGTTTAATAGTTTTTAGACGATGCGATTCGTAAATTTTGAGTCCATTGCGTCTGAAGAGTTCCGTCAGGAGTTCTGTTTGCATCCTGTTGGCTCCTGTTTCAAGGCGAGTTTATTTGAGATTTACTTTGTACCATTTTGACAGGCTTAAATGATTTAATGATTCAACAGAAATATTTTCCTTATCTTGTGAGAAGAACGGATTATAGTGCCTGTTGTTTTACTTTTCAATATGTTTTTTTTTTTTTTGGTGAGTTTTCTTGTTTCTGTTTTTAAGGAAATGATAATTGAACTAACGGATTTGTTTTTTGTTTTTATGGAAATGATCATTAAACTTCGACTGATTTGTTTTTTGGTTTTTTGGTTTTATGGAAATGATAATTGATCTTTGACTGATTTTTCGTTGTTGTGTTTTTGTTTTCATTTTGTAATCAGTTGGGAAGCGTCTTCCAGTTTTGTTTTTGTTTTTAAGGAAATGATAATTGAACTTTGACTGATTTGTTTTTTGGTGTGTTTTTTTTTTCCTTTTGTGATCAGTTGGGAAGCCTCTTCCAGACCAGAGAACCTTCAGCCTGAGACATTCTCTGCACTGCAACTACACATATGTCCACCCCAAGTGAGTATTGTTATCTGTCCTTCTTACTTTCTTTCTTTTCGCTCATTTTTTTGACTCGATGGAGGCGTGAAATGCTTACAATTACTTTGTTAAAAATGTCTTTTTGAAACTAATTTGCAATTGATGTACACAAAAATGGGAAGATATGGAATAACATCAAGAGGCTAGCCCAGGATAAAGGTGGAAAGTGTGTTTGTGGGCTGTTCCCTGTTGCAGGGCAGAAAGGCAATGATGATGAATTTGCTATGTCCTGACAGTGGGTGGTTGGCGGGCGCTCTGCTGTGGTTTGTTACTACTTACCTATCGAACCTCTTGTAGCACCTCTAATCTTCTGGCGCTCATATGACTTTATTGTGTTTCCCTTGGCGCTCATATGACTTTATTGTGTTGCAAGTGCCGTGAAACCTCCACTAAAACAAAACAATTCTGTGTGTCATGGTTGCAAAAGATGTGTCTGAACCGGAATATTTTCTTCTCTCCCTCCCTCCCCAGTGCTGTTCGGCTGCTAGGGTTCCTGCCTCAAGACTTCAACGGGATGTCCATCTTTGATCTCTACCACCCGGACGACTATCAGCAGCTGTTGGACATTCACAAGAAAAGTAAGGATTTTTTGTCGGTGTCTTGTTTGTTTGCTTGTCTGTCTGTCTGTCTGTCTGTCTGTCTGTCTGTCTGTCTGTCTGTCTGTCTGTCTGTCTGTCTGTCTGTCTGTCTCTCTGTCTGTCTCTCTGTCTGTCTCTCTGTCTGTCTGTCTCTCTCTCTCTCTCTCTCTCTCTCTCTCTCTCTCTCTCTCTCTCTCTCTCTCTCTCTCTCTCTCTCTCCCTCTCCCTCCCCCTCCCTCCCCCTCCCTCCCCCCTCCTTTTTTAAATATTTGTTACCCTCTTGTAACACCTCTAATTTTCAGCACTTATACGACCTTATTGTGTTGCAAGTGCCATAAAACTCTTACTAAAACTAAAACTAAACTGTTTTTGCTTTCTCCCAGTTCTCCTGTCCATGGGCCAGCCGTTCAAGAGCGGAGGCATGCGTCTGAAGACGAGGAACGGATGCTACGTGGAGGTGGAGACGGAGTGGTCAAGCTTCATCAACCCCTGGTCCATGAGGCTGGAGTTCATCATCGGACAACACAAAGTCATCACGTCAGTTGATTTTCCTTTCTTTTTCCTCTCCCTTTTCTTTCGTGGGAGGTTCGGTAACCCAAATTTTCCCAGGGGGATAAAAAAAAAAAAAAATGGTGAAATGGTATTTGTTTAACGCCCCTATCAACACTATTAGGTTATTTAAGGGGCGGGACCTCTGAGTTTAACTAAATTCATATAAAGTGTCTTTCCCAAGGACACAAACCTCGGACTAAGCTGAGGCTCGAACCCCCGAACTGGCTGTCTCACGATTATCAGTCCGGTAGCCTAACCACTAGGCTACTGACACCACACGGGGATCAATAAATGTAATTTATTATTTTAAAAGATTTATTAGCTGTGGTGACATACGCATGAACATGTATGCTCAGGTTTTCACATGATATTTGCTTCTCTTTTTTTGTTGTTGACTCAAACAATTTTTTTGGTTTGTTTTCAGTGGCCCGTCCAGACCAGACCTGTTTGAGGACTTGCAGAACAAGCAAGAGAAGTTTGAGCTGTCGCCCGATCTGAAGAAGGTTCAGGAGAAGATACTGGAGGTCTTGAAAAAGGTGAGGGGTCGCGTCACTGGCGAGCAGCGCAGTCATGTCCTAACTCTTCTCTCTTTATTCATCTTTTCTACCAAACCCCTGGGGCGGTGTTACTGACTGAAGTGTCTTTAGACCATTCCCAAGGGGGGAACATTAACTTGTTCTTATGCACAGTAGATTGCAAATGGGCTGATTCATCAATGTCATGCTCATAACTGTGCCTGAACAGCAACAGGGAACTGCTGCTTTTTCTTTCCTAATCCTATCGTCCTTTTTTCAGTAGTTAACTGAATGACTTGTATTACCCATAATATTATAGTTAGTGTAAAGCGCACAGAGCTAGCTGTGGGTGGTTGGCGGGTGCTCTGGTGTGGTTTGCTTCTTCTTTCCTATCAGGCATCTATCATCCTTATCTCCCCTTCTTTTTTGTGTTTGTTACTCTCTTGTAACACCTCTAATCTTCTGCACTATATGACTTTATTGTGTTGCAAGTGCCGTAAAACTCTTACTGACACAAAAGCACAGAGCTAGCTGACAGGCGAGAATGCACCCTACAAGCACCATTTATTCTTAATGTAAGAATGTTTTTTGTAAGTGTTTTACGGTGCGGGCAACTGCGTAATGTAAGAATGTAAGTTCATCAATGGTTTTTTTTGTCTCCCTCATTTTCCAGCCCATACAAGGCGTCTTCACAGAACCGGCCCCTGTGGCAGCAAAGATTGTCAAAGATCAAAGTAAGTGACGCCACTCGCAGAAGTCTTTGGGAGAGATCCTTGTGTACTCAGGATTGTGTCTTCCGTGTATATAATAATAATAACAATAATGTAAAAAAATTTTTTAATGATCATCATAATAATAATGTAAAAAAAGTTTTTTAATGATCATAATAATAATAGATAGCATTTATATAGTGCTCTAACCCATATTAGTATAAGCTCTATGAAGATGTTCCCTTTTCTTTCTGTGAAACAAAACAAACCCATTTCTCTGTTGGTTTCATAATTCATAATTTACAACCTTACAATGTGGATGGTTGGCGGGTGCTCCTGTGTGGTTTGCTCTTTCGTTCCTATTAAACATCTATCGTCCGTGTCTCCCCTCCTTCTTTTTTGTGTATATTCCTCTCTTCTGACACCTCTATTCTTCAGCACTTCTATGACCTTATTGTGTTGCACATGCCTGCCATTAAAAATCCATACATCATCTGCAGGTGCCCCCGGTCCGATGGTGGCCCCCGCGCAGACACAGGCGAGTCGAGAGACGGAAGCTGGCGGGGCGAAAGGAACAGCGGAGAAGTCAAAGGTTAGTTGAAAAATGGTGGATGGCACGTGTGGGTGGTTGATGGGTGCCCTGGTGTGGTTCGCTGCTCCTTCTCCTCTATTATCGAACATTTGTTGTCCTGATCTCTCCTCTTTCGTGTGGGTGGTTGGCGGGTGCTCTGGTGTGGTCTGCTCCTTCTTCTCTATTATCAAAGATTTATTGTTGTCCTTATCTCCCCTCCTTCTTTTTTTGTGTTTGTAACTCTCTTGTAACATCTCTTATCTTCGGCACTTGTATGACCTTATTGTATATATAGTGTAGTTAGTAAACTGATATAGGGCGCGCTCATATGACCTTACGCAGTTGCGAGCGCCGTAAAACCCTATACTACTAAAACTGATATAGCTGCTGTTTTCATTTGCTAGTATTACTGAGTAAGGTTATGGGTGGTTGGTGGATGTCCTGGTTTGGCTTACTCTTTGTTTACTATCAAACACTCTTTCTATCATGCTTCAAATTGTTTCACAATGCATTCAGGTCCACTGGGGTAAGAATGTAGAATGTAAAGTGCTCAGAGCTTGCTGTTGAGTGGGAATTTGTATAATAATATGAATGCTATTTTATTATTATTATTATTATTCCTCACCCTGTTTCTTGTGTGTATTTCGTGGGTGGTTGGTGGGTGCTCTGATGTGGTTTGCTCATTCTTTCCTATCAAACATCTATCTTCCTTATAATCTTCCCTCCCTTCTTTTTTGTATTTGTTACTCTCTTGTAACACCTCTAATCTTGGGCACTTATATGACCTTATTGTGTTGCGAGTGCCGTAAAACACATGACTTACTAAAATTAAAACTGAAACTAATAAGAAAACCCAACTATACGTGTTTCCAGGGTAATGAGACGGCTGTGGCAGAGAGCAAGTCGACGGTGATAGACGACAAAGGCATCTCTTCCATCTACAATCAGCTCAACTACTCACACAACATCAAGAGGTGGGGCTTTGTTTTGTTTTGTCTTTTGTCTGGTTTGTCATTTTTATTTTTTGTGGCTTCTTTTGATGGGAATTCTTGGATGTTAACCCTACCTGTACGTCGTGTTTAACTATCGTATCCATACGATGTGGAGAACTCTGTGCCACCACTTTACAAAGAGGAAATTTTCTCCTTATTTGATCTGTCCGCTTTGCATAGCAGTCTGTCCAAATGATTTTTTGAGAAATACTGAAAGTTTCAAAGAGATCTTTGTACTCGAAGTATTAAAAAATGTGAAGAATACAACCCAGGGGATACAAAATGACCCCAGGACATATGGATAGGGTTATTAAAGGTCATCTTCAGTTCATTATGGACGAATTATTATTATTATTACCATCATCATCATCATCATTATTATTATCAGCACTTTTATTATTCTAACTGTATCATAAGTATAGATGTTACAACTGAGCGTTCATGTAAACAATTGCGTCTGTCTGTCTGTGTGCAGGTTTCTGATGAGTCACCCGAAGTCATTCTCCAACCTGTCGGACGAGGACAGCGTGATGACCCGAGATGACAGTGAGGACGGTGAGTGGAAGAAGAATGTGCTGCTCCTTCTTTCCTTTCAGACATCTATTGTCTCCTCCACCTTTTCTTATGTTTCTTACTCTCTTGCAACACCTCTAATCTTCGGCACTTATATGACCTTATTGTGTTGCAAGTGCCGTAAAACTCTTAAGAAAGAGAATAATGTGCCTTGCGCCAGTTTGTTTGTTCCTGCTCGCGAGTGTTTGTCGGCCGTTATAATTAGTGTGGTCTGCTTCCTCTACTTCTGCTTGTTTGACATGTTGCTGTTGAGTCAGAATCTAGATTAAGTGGTTCGTAGGTTCCTACAGTACATTCCTGGAAAGCTGTGCTGATCTGGTCTAGTCCGTTCAGCTTGTACAATAGCTAGTCTGCATAATAATATGCACTCGTATGACCTGATGCAGTTGCAAGTGCCGCAAAACTCTTGCTAAAACAGTCTGCGTAATAATGTTATTGAGTCAGGATCTAGATTTTCCTGCTTAATTGAGTATGTTCGTGGAAAGTTGTGGTGGTGCTGATCTTGTTCAGTCGGTTCAGCTTGTACAAAGAATTGCTGTGCAGCAGTTTGTGTGTTCTGGGAAAACAGTCTCAATAATATGTGTCACGACGTGGTGGGATCAGGCGCTCTTCAATTTTGGGGCGTTTGGGGTTTTGGTATCATCTTAAAGCCTGTCCATTTGCCTTGCTTTTAATGAAAAAAATATCCAGTTATTTTGGATACGAGTCAAGATATTGGCGATTGAAGGAGGTGGGGGTCACCTGGTTTCAGGGGTAAAATTAGTGAGAAAATGGCTTCCAAAGTTTAGTTATTTCCTAAGCTTGAGAGTCCGTGGAAACCTAAAATTTACATCTTTTATGTCTTTAATCACCTTTTTCAGTAAAAATCCGCACAGAAATGTGTTCTGTAATGGGCATGAGAGGTGTTGAGCCAAAAAATAAAAGTCGATAAAAATGTCCAAACCCAGGGAAAAATGCCGGTTTCTTCAGTTTCGTTATTTTGACGAGCGCCTGATTTTACCACGCTGCCTCACGTATTAATAATCTCCCTTGCCTGCAGCAGGTCTGTAGTTTGAGTTTGTAATCACGCGTGGAGAGCTTGGTATTCAGCTCTCTCTCAAACGTGAAATGTCAGGTGGCCGAGGTCCGGTTACCGCAGACGGAATCTGTTACGCATTGGCAAAAACTGGAGGGGTCTTACGAGCGCTTTTTGACCTTTCCAGCGCAGGCCGGTGATTATTATAACCAGAGCTGAAATTGGTGCTACGTAACTCTGGTTAATATGCATACCTCATTACGACCAGCCACCGTGACATTTACCCGGCTCGGTTAATTGTTCATTTTTGTGTCGGGTGTTTGGGAGGTTTCTCTGATACAATTTTTGCTTTTGTGGAGTTATACAACGCTGGGCGGGATACTGGAGCAGAGAACAGATTTTTATTATTATTACTCAGAACGTTAAGCAAGCTATACAGAGTTGTAATTTTGAAAAGTTAGAAGAAGATCTGAATACAGATATGTAGATGTACTAACAGTTTATGTGAGAAAAGCGTTGTGAGGTCACCTATTGTTGATTTCGTGGTTTATTTTGTATTATCACATCAATTGTTCCCGAAGGTGAGTTTTCAGTAGCCTTTATAGTAAATCCATTGTCCTTATCTCTTCTCCTTTTTTATTTTATTTTTATTTTAATTTTTTTGAATGTTCCTTTCCAGTGATTCCTTTAACCTTTAACCTTCGGCACTTATATGACCTAATTGTGTTGCAAGTGCTATAAAACTCCTTTATATTTGGAGAAAAAAAAAGTTTTGATGTGTATGGAGTTGTGAGCTTGTGTTCTATGAGATTTATTTATCCATACATCGCCATCTTTACTGCCTCAGGGTATTTATCCATTAAGATTGATTGAATGATTGATTGATTGTTTGATTGATTTGTTCTGTTTGCGATTATTCCAGAGGCCATCAACGATGAAGAGGAGATGCCTCTTGAGATCCCAGTGGTGAAACCTCCCAGCTGTGGTAGTTCTACTCAGGTGAGAGAGAGAGAGAGAGAGAGAGAGGGGGGGGGATGGAGAGGGAGAGAGAGGGATGGAGAGGGGGAGAAAGAGAGAGAGAGAAAGAGAGAGAGATATATTCCTTCCTTGCTTTGCTTGAGGACCCGGTGCGCCTTCAGCAATTTGTTCCTATATTCACTGCTGAGAGTAAGACTCTGCTACCATACAGTTATGTGAAGTGAAGTATACTGAGTTTTACACTAAGTAGTCAATATGTTTATAGCTAGAGTATTTGGCATTAACAAAATTTTTTTTTTGAAATTTGCTTTCAGTATATATTTTTAATTTCATTTGCTCAATGTTAGAAAATATTTTTACCTTTACTTTCTTTATAAGAAATGTATTATCTACTTGAATACTGTTAATCATAATCAGTACTGAGAAACCAATACTTTTCACAACAGTTGAATGGTGAAGGGAACTGATACTGCTATTTTACTTGTACACTGTGGATTGATAACAACACAACAACGACCTGTACAATAACTAAAACTAAAGCTACTTCCTTTTGTTTCTGAGGCAAAAGTCGTTCTACCCTGCTGTAAATCATATTCCATATTTTCAAGTTCCTGACAAGAGGTATCTTTAGTCCGCTGCTAATGGTGCTCGTATGACCTTTTGCAGTTGCGAGTGCCGTAAAACCTCTACTAAAACTACTAAACAACTCTGCTGCAGAGAAGTGGCTTTCAGTCTCTGGGAAGAGAGGCGTTCATTAGAGGCAAAAGGACTACCCACTTTGTTTTCCTTGGCTTCGCTGGTTTTTAGGCCCAGAGTAGGAAAAAAAGTTGTGCAAACAACAAATGTATTGCAGTTTGAAGATATAATTTCTTAAAATACTCTCAGCTAGCTCATTATTATCTCAAAACCCAAAAACGAGAAATGGTATGTATGATATAAGCAGAAAATGCTAGCAGGATGGAAAGGGGAAGTGTGAGACGATAAAAAGAAAATGACTCACGACCCCCTGATGGGCTTGCGTATGTTTGTTTGCCGCATAGCTAAGAAATTACCAGCATTACTGGTGGCATGTTGTGTTTTTTTCACACTCCCTCCTTTTGATCTGAACGAGTCCTCGCCCTGTCCCCCCCCCCCCCCCACACACACACAGACACACACACACACACACACACACATGCACACACTCCCCCCACACACCCTGTCTTTACTCACCATGGGTTATCGCTGTTTATATCGCAGACACACACACACAAACACTCACACACACTCACACACGCACCCTGTCATTACTCCCCCCACCCTGTCATTACTCACCGTGGGTTGTCGCTGTTTATCGCCGCAGGTCCACGTCTCGGAACAAGGTCACGGGGAGGAGATGTTGAGCCCGCCGACCTTCGGGGACGAGGCGATGCCTCCACGCGAGGCGCCCGCCGACAACATCCACTTCCTAACGGAGGAGACGCTGAAGAAACACACCAAGATACAGGAGAGACTCTATCTGCAGCGCATCTCGGAGGAACAGCCCATGCTGTTGAACATGCGCCGGATCAAGGTAGGGGAAGAATAGATTAGGTAGAATAGAAGTATTAGATTGATAGAATATAATTAATGTATTAGATTTGTTCAATATCTTTGAACATGCGCAGAATCAAGGTGAGGGAACAATAGGTTAGGTAGAATGGAAATGTGTTAGATTTATTCACGAGCGGGATCAAGATGACTGAAGAACAGGTTAGATGTTGTTGTTGTTTTCAAATCCCTTTAGCTGCGAGCATTTCACTCTTAGCAGAAACAAGTCAGATAAAATAGAAATGTATTGGATTTATTTAAAATCTTTGAACATGCGCGGGATTAAGGTGACAGGGAAGAATAGGTTAGGTAGGATAGAGATGTGTTAGATTTGTTCAAAGTCTTTGAACACGTTAGATAGAATATAAATGTGTTAGATTTGTTCAAAGTCTTTGAATGTGTTAGATAGAATATAAATGTGTTACATTTGTTCAAAATCTTTGAACACGTTAGATAGAATATAAATGTATTAGGTTTGTTCAAAATCTTTGAATGTGTTAGAATATAAATGTATTAGGTTTGTTCAAAATCTTTGAATGTGTTACATAGAATAGAAATGTTTTAGATTTGTTCAAAATCTCTGAACATGCGCCGGATCAAGGTAAGGGAACAATGGGTTAGGTAGGATAAAAATATGTCTAATCTTCAGCACTTATTAGACCGACTTGTGTTGTGAAGTGCCGTAAAACTCTTTGACCAAAACTGGAACTGTGTCTGTGTGTGCATCCACAGAGCTCGAGAAACACGTCGCATCAGAAGCGACCTCGGCCCAGAGAGGCGGGGGAAGAGATGGACACGGCCAAACACCCGTGCACGAAGAGTGGTGTGTTCAGATCCAGGTGAGCGGGGGAACTGGGTGCTGTTTGCTGCTGATGTTGCTGTTGTGGTTGCTGCTACTGTTGTTGTGGAAGCTGTTTAGTTGTTGTTGTTGCTGTTTTGTTGCTGGTGTTCCTGTTGTTGTGGTGGTTGCTGCTGTTTTTGTGTTATTGCTGCTGTCTTGTTGTTGTTGCTGTTGCTGCTACTGGTGTTTTGTTGCTGTTGTTGCTGTTGTTGAAGTTGCTGCTGTTTTGTTGCTGTTGCTGTTTTGTTGCTGGTAAAACACTTGCTGAAACCAAAACTGGATACATACAAGCTCACAAAAACACATGGCATAATTGTCCAAATACACGTACTATGGATACATACAAGCACGCAAAGTGACCCTATGACTGTTTCTATCCCCCCCAGCTCCAACATCTTCATGCAGAGTTTCCCGACAGTCACCTCCACGGACATCACGCCCTCCACGTCGACGGCCAACCCCATCTTCGGCCAGGCAGAGATCGTGGGCCGGCCTCCGTTTGACAGCACCTTCCTGAGCCAGAGCGCGCCGCTGGGCTTCCAGCCTTTCCCCGCTGGGTATCATCAGACAGGTGTGTGTGTGTGTGGGGGGGTGTGTGTGTGTGTGGATGGAGGTGTATTGTGGGAGGGTGTGAGTGTGTGTGTATGTCTGTGAGTGAGTGAGTGAGAGAAAAGAGAGTGTGTTGCAAGTGCTGTAAAATTCTTACTAAAAACTAACCGCCCTCCTCTCCCACGCTCTCAGGAAACCAGCCAGCCGGCATCGCTATCCCCGCCCAGCCCATCCAGCTGATGCCGCGGGCCTCACTGCCGCTGTCGTGCCTGCCCCCGACCTTGGCCCCCATGATCCCCAACCACCCGGGCCTGCTGGACTCTAGTCGCGCCGGCCCCGACCAGAACATTCAGTGGCCGTACTACCCGCAGACCGGTGAGCTGAGCACGACTTCTGGAAAATTGTTTTGACAATGATAGTGACAATCTTTATTAATCTCGCTGGGAGAAATTTGTCTTGGTCGTCGTTAATAATAGCAGTAGACGTTACAAAGGTTAGGTGCACTCACGCATACTCACAGCAAGATAGGACATTAGTAAATTCATGACAACCTGCTCTGTAAAATATTCTCTCTCTCTCTCTCTCTTGTTGACCTTGTGCAGTTTTGCGAGCGCTGTAAAACTCTTACGAAAATAAAAACGATGATGTGTTACATTTACGAAAACAAAAATAAAAATGTGTTCCTCTTATTAAAACAAAAATAAAAATGTGTTCCTCTTATTAAAACATAAACGGAAAGGTGTGTTTGTGGTTTTTGTGTCTCTTCCTCTCTGCTCTTGTCCGGGGTTGAATTGAAATGTTCATTTTATGTTTACTTTTTCCCAGCACTAAATAACCATTATTGTGTCGATGTGCTGCTTCTCTTTAGTCAAACTCAAACAAAGCAAGTGCCGTAAAACTCTTACTAAAACTAAAACAAACCTGTTCCCCCCCCCCCCCCCCCCCCCCCCCAGGCTACACACTGCTGCCCCAGGTGATGGCGGGATTCTACCGGCCGCTGCTGCAGCCCGTGCAGGTCCAGGCCATGACCCCACAGCCCGGCGCGTTTATGAAGGCTGGAAACGCCGTAAAACTCGTCACAGATCAGGTGCCGGTGAAGGACACACAAGGGGAACAGGTGAGGAGAAAAATGTTTCTTATTCTTTGTTCACTGTCTCTTGGGCTGAGAAATGTTTTATTCTTTGTTCACTGTCTCTTGGGCTTAGAAATGTTTCTTATTCTTTGTTCACTGTCTCTTGGGCTTAGAAATGTTTCTTATTCTTTGTTCACTGTCTTTTGGGCTTAGAAATGTTTCTTATTCTTTGTTCACTGTCTCTTGGGCTGAGAAATGTTTCTTATTCTTTGTTCACTGTCTCTTGGGCTTAGAAATGTTTCTTATTCTTTGTTCACTGTCTCTTGGGCTTAGAAATGTTTCTTATTCTTTGTTCACTGTCTTTTGGGCTTAGAAATGTTTCTTATTCTTTGTTCACTGTCTCTTGGGCTGAGAAATGTTTCTTATTCTTTGTTCACTGTCTCTTGGGCTGAGAAATGTTTCTTATTCTTTGTTCACTGTCTTTTGGGCTGAGAAATGTTTCTTATTCTTTGTTCATTTCTTTTGGGCTGAGAAATGTTTCTTATTCTTTGTTCATTTCTTTTGGGCTGAGAAATGTTTCTTATTCTTTGTTCATTTCTTTTGGGCTGAGAAATGTTTCTTATTCTTTGTTCACTGTCTCTTGGGCTGAGAAATGTTTCTTATTCTTTGTTCATTTCTTTTGGGCTGAGAAATGTTTCTTATTCTTTGTTCACCGTCTTTTGGGCTGAGAAATGTTTCTTATTCTTTGTTCACCGTCTTTTGGGCTTGTTTTTCTGGTGCCGGTGAAAGATATAAGGGGATCAGGTGATGATAGAAACGCTTTTTATTTAGTTCGCTGTCAGTCACCAGATGATAGAAATGTTTCTGTGGGTGGTTGTTGGGTGCTCTGGTGTGGTTTGCTTCTTCTTTCCTATCAAACATCTGTGGTCCTTATCTCCCCTTCTTCTTTTTTGTGTTTTACTCTTTTGTAACAATCTGCTTGCGCTCATATGACCTTATGCAGTTGCGAGCGCCGCAAAACGTCTTCTAAAACTAGAACTCTAATCTTCGGCATTTATATGACTTTGTTGTGTTGCAAGTGCCGTAAAACTCTAACTAAAACAAAACTAAAACTCGCATTGTCTGTCCCACACATTTCAGCCGGCCAAAAAGAGCAAGATGGACCCTGCCAAGAACTCTGAGCTCGACAACCCGTCCTCTTCTGTGGAGGACACAGCATCCTCTATCTTGTATCTGTTGGACGCTGACAGCTCCACTTTTGAGGTGAGGGTTTGTGTGTGTGTGTGTGTATGTGTGGAAGACACAGCATCCTCTATCTTGTATCTGTTGGACGCTGACAGCTCCACTTTTGAGGTGAGGGTTTGTGTGTGTGTGTGTGTGAGTGTGTGTGTGTGTGGGGAAGACACGGCTTCGTCTATCCTGTACTTGTTGGAGGCAGACAGTTCTACGTTTGAGGTGAGTGTGTGTGGGGGTGTGTGGGTAGGTGTGTGGGGGTGTGTGTGCGTACATGGAGAGGGGAGGGTGTGTGTGTGGAGGTGGAGAGAGATGGGAGTCTGGGTGTGTCGGGGTAACACATGACCGAACTGTGTTGCAAACGCTGTAAAAATACTCTGGACTAAAACTCTGAACCATGTCGCCAGCAGGACTCTGACAACAGGACAGGCCCAGGAGCGGCTGCCGCTGCCATGCCGAGAATGCAGAACAAACGGTCCAACGAGCCGCCGTGGCTGCGTGGAGTCAAGTGGAACAATGACGTTAAGATGAGGTTTGTATAACATGTCTGGGATTGTCGTTTTTACAGTTTTCTCTCTCTCTCTTTCTCTCTCTCTGTTATCAAGATGAGGTTTGTACAACATGTCTGGGATTGTCGTTTTTACAGTTTTCTCTCTCTCTCTCTGTCATCAAGATGAGGTTTTGTATAAAATGTCTGGTTGTCGTTTTTCCTTTTTTTTCTCTTTCTCACTGGTGTTCTTTCTTTCTCTCTCTCTGTCGCTCTCTTTCTTCCTCTTTCTCTTTCTCGTTTTTTTGCTGTGGGTGGTTGGCAGGTGCTCTGGTGCGGTTTGCTCCTTCTTTCCTATCAGACAACTATCGTCTTTATCTCCCCTCCTTCTTTTTTTCTGTTTGTTACTCTCTTGTAACACCTCTAATCTTCTTCACTTGCATGACCTATGTGTGTTGTAACTACCGTTAAACTCTTACTAAAACAAAAAAACAGCTCTAATCTTCGTCACTTATATGACCTAGGCGTCGGTGGCCTAGTGGTTAGGCTCTCGGACTCGCAACCGTAAGGTCGTGGGTTCGAATCCCGTCAGGGGCCCGACATTGTGTCCTTGGGAAAGGCACTTTTCACAAATTTTCCTCACTTCACCCAGGTGGAAATGGGTACCCAGCTATAGACAGTGAAAGATCTTGTCAGTTTGATAGTGTTTGAGCGCGTGAAATCCGCAGCTTGCACTGTATGCTTCCTCGGAAGCTGAGAATGTTTCTGAGTGTTCTCAGAGGGGCTGCTGGGGTAATAATAGTTGTAAAGCACATAGAGCATGCTCTTGAGCCTGGATATGCGCTATATAAATGCAATTATAATTATTATTACCTATTTGTATTCCAAGTGTTGTAAAAGTCTTACTTAAAAAAAAACCTAAACAGAAATGTTTTTGCCCACTTCCTTCCAGGTACACGTTGCCCCAGCGTAAGCTGTACACAGTGTTGAAGATGGACGACAAGATGCTTAAGAAGGCCAGTCAAGGCGACCTGGTTCAGGCTAGCCTGGAGCAGCTCATGGAGGATATTTCAATGCCCGATCACGAGAATGCTATTGTAAGTACTACACTGTCGTAAGCTGACGAAACTCTTTTTTTCCCCCCCATTTTGGCACCAAATTTTTTTGTTTGCTAAATTGGAACCCAGGTCTCGTACTTTAAGAAATGTGTTGGATGTGCTTCTGTTTTGAGATTCACAGTAGAATTATTGTTTGCTGTTGTTTCCAGAATTATAGTTTATCGTTGTCTCAAGAATTTGTGAATATGTTTGTCTCTATAATTAAGAGTTTATCATTGCCTTTCCTATCAAACATATTGTCTTTATCTCTGCTGCTTCTCTTTTGTGTATGTTACTCTCTCTTTTAACACCTCTAATCTTCAGCACTCTTTGACCTTATTGTGTGGCTAGTGCCGTTATATGTCGGATGTGCTTCTGTTTTGAGATTCACTGTAGAATTATCGTTTATTAATGTCACTAGAATTATTGTTGTGGGAGGTTGACGGGTGCTCTGGTGTGGTCTGCTCCTTCTTTCCTATCAAACATCTATATCGTCTTTATCTCCCCTCCTTCTTTTTTGTGTTTGTTACTCCCTTGTAACACCTCTAATCTTGGGCACCTATTTGACCTTATTGTGTTTCAAGTGCTGTAAAACTGTCACGAAAAAAGAAAGAATGATTGTTTATCGTTGTTTTGCTCCAGGATGAGGAGGCGGACTATCAGTTCTACCCGGGCGACGAGCCGCTGGATGAACTGGACATGCTGAGCGACGCAAAGATCCAGGAGGCGGTGATCACCGGACCCTGCATGGACATGAACGAGGAGGAGGGGGCGGTGGGCGGGGGAGGGGACGACGGGGGAGGCGGTGGTGGCGGGGGACGACACGAAGACGTCCTCTGGAGCCTGGGCACCTGCGAGCACGACGAGGACAACTACGACACGCCCGTCAACTCGCACTCGGAGGACGAGAAGGCCCCGCCCACCCCGACGCAGGCGGACGCCAATGCAGGGAAGACGGAAGGCAAGAGGGACGAGAGCCCCAACTCGAGTAGTGGCAGTAGTAAGGTGAGACGGATACTCTTGTGGACGCGCTCTTGACGTACTTGTCCTCATCCCATGAACTTGTTCTCGTTTTTGGGGGGGGGGGTTTTTTGTTGTTGTTGTCTTTTTTTTTTGGGTGTTAAGTTCCATATGGTCGCTTTTAAGGACAAGCGGGCTAACCCAGATTTAGGGGGTTTTCAGAAATCTTGACCTACACCAAAAGTGGGCATTGCTCTACCTATTGGAGAAGTTTGGTTTCATTGGTGTGTATATTTGTTTGGTTATAGAGAAAACTCTCCTTGTCTTTTAAAGAAACTGAACAAGGGTCCAAAAACTTTACCTTCGTTTTTTCTCAAAACAGCATTTTTGGGGATAGCCCCCTTGTGCTTAAAAGCGACCATGTATCAGTGGGTGGTGAAGGGCGCCACTGGTAGGTCCTACTTCTTTATTTTCCCTCTGTTTTTTCTGTCTGTCTGTCTGTCTGACTTTTTCCCAGCACTAAATGACCATTATTGTGGCAATGTGCTTCTCTTTAGACAAACAAACAAATACCATTTATCACTGTTTTTTTCGCATCCAGAAAAATAACTGTGCGAAATTCTGACAAAGCTTTTATCTTTTCTTTCTTTCCTGAACAGACAACACAAAAGCTAATAAAAAGACAGTTTCTTTTTATCCAGAAAAATAAGTAGATATGTAAAATTCTGACAAAGTTTTTACCTTTTCTTTCATTCCGGAACAGGCGACAGAGGGAGGCGAGATGGTTTCCATGGAGACAGTGTTCATGAGCAACAGCCAATCGGCGAGCGGCGGTTCTCTGGCCAAGCGAGGCGGCAGTCCCAAAGATTGCTCCCTGAGCGGGGACGAGGGAAGCAGCGGCAGCGACGGCGGCCAAAAGGGAGAGATGGAGGACTCGCAGTCCAACTGCTCCAAGGTCTCCAGCGATATGACACCCAGCGACGACCGCAGCAACGAAGAGGCCGGCAGCTCCCTGAAGGAGTCGGACGCCTCCATGAAGCACCTCAAAGACGTGTCGTCCGTCGCTTCGTCCAACTCCTCGAACGAGACCCCGGAGATTGGCGAGGCTGGCGGCGCGGCGCCCGTGCGCGACATCGAAGAGATCTTCAAGAAACTGTTTGTCCCGCTGAAGGTGCGGGTCCGGGAGAAGCTGAACATGCCCAAGGAGCCTTACTGGCTGGTGGAGGCGCACCTGAGCCAGCGCGTGGCCATGACCTACAAACTGCCCTCGCTACAGCTGGAGGACGTGCTGAGCGAGGACAAGAAGAAGATGTCGGATCTGGTGCAGTCGGCGACGGTGAAACAGCAGCTGCTGCAGCTGCTCAACGAGGTGGACATCAAGTCTGCGTCGGTGGTGGGCACCTCCCTGTCCTTCTCCTCCCCCGTGGCCTCCTCCTCCTCCTCCTACCAGAACCATCCTGTCATGTCGTTCACAGTCACCGAGCCAACGACCAGTGTCGCCATGGAAACGGTGCCGGCGGCGAGAGAGTCGCTCTCCGCTGGGTCGTCGCCACCCAGTAAGGAGACGACGACTCCGCTGCACTCAATGGAGGACAAGGTCGCCGGTGCGGAGCACGTGGGCTCTCCGTCGTCGGGTCTGGGTTTAGGGCTGGAGTCGGTGAAAGAAGAGGAGGAGGAGAAGAAGCTGGGCAAAGACTGTGCTAGTAAGATGGAGAGCAGCTGTGATCAGGGCAAGGTGGAGGCAGAGAAGAAGCTCTCTAGCCTCCTCTCTCAGGACGGGACAGCGATGAGTGTGTCCAACGAGAGCCTGAAGGCCCTGAGTGTGGAGATGGGCAGTGCGGAGCCGTCTATTGCTAAATCGTCTCTGTGCGAGGAGACGGCTCACCTCACACTGGCCAAGTCCTCGTCTTTTCTCTCGCTCGACAGCATGTCCAACTCTCCGCAGGCGCCCATCTACCACACGACCAGACTCGTGAAGGGCCGGAGGCATGCCACTTCCTCCGACACTAACACGGACCCCATCGCGGACGAGTCGCAGTTCAATTCCTCAGCTCAAAGTCGGTCTTCTTCGTCGATCGGAGTTCCGGTACACAGACCCTCGAGGGCTGGCCATTCCCAGGCAAGGACAGACGCTTACCTTAAGGAGTACCTGCAGGCCATGGAGACTTCTTCTGTGTCCGGACAAAATCTCGAGGACGTGATCATGAACAAAATATTTGTGCCAAAGGACAGTTCGGAGGTTAAAGACATGATGAACGATTTCCACTCCCCGCAGTAGTCGACAGTTTCAGTTCCATGGAGCGATAATAATTTTGTTGAGGATTGGGTGGTTGGGTGTTCCTTGTTTGCGATACAAGTGTCCCACCTGATTATGTCCCCTCATCGGAGCTTGAACTAGTGCCCTCTGGGAGTTGTTTTGCCCAAAGAGAGGCAGAAAACATGTGCTGATTGGTCAGATGATATTTGAGGGTTGGGCGTCCGTTCAGAAGGTACCTGTGCCCTGACTGCGGCAGCGGTCGCCCTCCCGTCGAGAGTGTGCTCGACTGTCCGTTGTAGACGTGGCTCCGCAGTGTGGAGGGCAGGACCTGGGCAGAAAGGGTACCGGTGCTCGATGCATGAGCATAGCGGCAAGTGGGAAGTTTCCCGCCTTTGATCAGGTGGTCAAGGTGTGGCGAAATCCGATCTTGTGATCGGTGACTGACGAGATGACATGGTGATCAGCGGCAGGGAGTGTGCGTCGTACTGAAATCCTCGTGTGGATTATATTCTTTCCAGCATCACAAATGGGTAACTGGTGCCCGGTAGATCTGCATTTGGAAGGAGGATATCGTTGAAGGAGGATATCGTCGCAGGTAATTCGCCGTGAAGTGTTTTGTCGATGTGACATACCTAGGTGGTAGTTCCTGTCCTCAAAGATCGGCGGTACGCACGATTGGTGGTACGCACGATTGGTGGTACTTGACGAGGAGTGGAGGATGGGATGTGGAACAGATGGCGCCGGCTGTGATGTTCCTTTCTTCATTACTGCAGCCTCTCCGCTCTTGGTATGGCACTATGATATGACGACGTCTGGCTAATACTAACGGGGAAGTGGCCAGATTTAGGGGAGGTGTCTGTTTGGAGAAGCAGCATATAGATCTGTGACACACCGTTGTTAGGAAAATTTCCTGTCCCAAATATCTGGGATCCTCGAGACACCCCCCTTTTTGTACCTTGTCAGACAAGAGTGATAATACACAGCATATGTCTTTGGCAATAATCCAGCAGATCTCCCCCCCCCCCCCCCCCCCCCCCCAGATATTGCTTGATGTTGTTTGTACCCCTGTACATTTCCATCTCTCTCAGATTGAGAGCCCAAAGTACGGCTGTGTGGTGTATACGTGGGGTCCACATTGTGCTTCCTAGAGTGGAAAAGTTCCATCTGCATTGTGCTGAAATGTGTAGGCTCTCGCACTCGTAACCGTACGGTCGTGGGTTTGAATCACGGCAGGGGCTCGACGTTGTGTATGCTTCCCCGGGGAGCCCAGAATGTTTCCGAGTTTTTGTTGGGTCTGCTGGGGTAATGGTAATAATATCGTGTCAATCGCATCTATAGAGCTTGCTGCTGAGCAGGGGTATGCGCTTTACAAATGCTATTTATTATCGTTAAATGTATAGTCGGATAGTTCGTCTTACATGAATCGAGTCCCAGCTGTGTCGTGCGAGCTTTGTAAAGAAAGTTGTTTGTTTTAGACAGGTCAACGTTGTGGTCAGTATAATTCATTATAATATTAAACCACACGTGGTTGGAGAGGGAAGAAAGGTGTTTGTCTAAGTCTTGGACAGGTGGCTATTTAAAGCAGGCTCAACTATATTCTGGTAAAGTTGTTGTGCGCTCACATATAACCTCATGCAGTTGCGAGCGCACCAAAACACTTGAACAAAAAAAAATTTGTTCTACTCAAATTTTTTTATTTTTTAGCTCAAGTAGCTGGGATCAAGGCGTTTGGCAACTGGTAGAGACCGTTAATTTGATTTCGATATAATGTGGCTACCGTGCTAAATGCTGCTATATATGCTGTATATGTTCACTGCAGAAATAGTGAGTGAGTAGAATTTACAGGCAGGACCAGAGAGTTAGTACAAGGTATTGTGCGCCTTTTCGGTTCTTCATGGTGAGGATTCACCGTATAAATCTCGATATCTTGATTCCTGAAATTATTTGCATTTTGAACTAGGCCTATCTATAAGGATGTAGAATCAGCAAATTCTGAGTGCCTGGTTGCTTGTACGTGCATTTTCATGGGGTGCAAAAAGCTTAGACTTTTTTCTTGGAGCCAATTACCACCCCTGAGTCAATAAATCTCTTGTTGTAACTTTCTGGCTTGTCAGATGGAACGTTTTCACTCTAGGGGGCCCTCAACATGCCATTATGACGTGACGATAACTATTTTTAACCCTGGAAGTCAGAGCATTGCTATTTTGTATGGAGCTGTAGGCTTATTTTGTATGTATGTATGTATTGAATTGTCCACATTGTACAAAGGAAGAATAAGTATTGCAGCTTTTTATTGTTTTTGTTATACTCTGTTGTTTTGGTTGGTTTATCTGTTTTACGAAAATCTTCTATGTATATATATTGGAGGTTGTCATAGTTCATTCGTTCCACTGACATTCTGTCCCTTCATATAATTTATTATTATTATTATTATTATTTTTATTATAATTATGTGTTATTATTATTATTTTTATTATAATTATAAGTGTTATTATTATTATTATTATTATTTTTATTATAATTATAAGTGTTATTATTATTATAAGTATAATTATTATAATTATTATTGTGATTATTATGATTATTATTATTGTGTGTACAGATTATGAAGCATTTTGTATTTTATCATCCCTAGATTCTTTCTATTATTCTTTTAAAAGCAATGGTAAATCAGTGTAGAAATGGAAGGAACCAAGACGTTCCTCCCAGTCCCCGTGTTGTCGCAAGACGTCGGCGGGTCTTGTCGTGTACGCCTCGTTCATCGCGTGTTGTTGTCGAAAGCGCTGTTGTTTCCTGGTCGACGTGATGACGATGCAATGATGCTTTCTCTTTTCTTGTTTACTGCTAAAAAAAAGATTGGGGGGGGGGGAGAGAGTATGGTTTTATTTGTCCCCACTTTAAGTTAAGTTCTAATTTAACTATAGTAGTAGTAGTAGTAGTAGTCCTAGGTGACAGCAGTGACCTGTATTAAAGAGTATGATAGTTTAATTATACATACTGCGTTGAACTTGTTGTCAAGTAGTATGATAGTTTAATTATACATACCTCATTGAGCTTGCTGTCGAGTGGGGCATGCACTATACATATATATGCTATTTTTTATTATTGTAGTAGTCGAAGACGACAGCAATGACAATGTTTTAAAGAGCCTGTGGGATTTTTTTTAAGGTACAAGTGGCCACCGGCTAATTGGCATGGCATAAAAAATATTATGGGGGTGGTTGCTGCTTCTCTGTGAAATGATTGTGTTCAAGAAACATTGGTTATAGTTATAGGTTTGAAGATTGTCGGGTCCACTCGATTCTAATACCCGACTAAAGTGGGTCAGGATGGAAAGCCTTGGATTGTGCAGAACCGTGGCTGACAGGGCTGAGGTGGACAGAAGGAATGGGGGTGGGTGTTTAAACAGTATCGTAATGTACAATTTTGTAGGCATTTTAAACTTTACTATAGGAAGGAACCGCTGCAAGTTGTTACATGTATTATTACTATCATATCGTGTATTCATCATTAATGTTGGGCATGTGCAATATTCATTTTGCCTGCAGAAAAAAAAGTACTGTGCCAAACAAAAAGTCATTCAAAATTTTGGATAAAGGAAATATTCAGAGGTGCCAGATTTATAATAATAAATAAATCCAGAAATTCAGATTTCTGACTCTGTCTTGACTTTTCCAGAACTGAAGTCGTTAGTTGAGAACTTGCTGCACTCCAGAACTGAAGTCGTTAGTTGAGAACTTGCTGCACTTTATAAAGAAAGAAGTAGTCTTGACAGGAGGAGATGTATTATTAGACAATTAATTAATGATCTGTACGTTTTGATTCAATTCAGGTGTATTTCCAGCATATTTTTTTTAATAGTCAGTTGGCACCTGAGAATATTGCCATTATCTTGTGAAGATTTTAAGCATCTACTTTATTTTGGGAGGAGAGATTTGGGCCCCTTACAACAGTCTTTGGTGGTGATCTGGGCTTTGGTATCTTTGAGCAGAAGGAAAGATTTGTGCTCTAAATTCACATCATTAGAATCCACCTCTCAGAAAGTGTTTAATCTTTATTATTATATAATATTAGTTTAGTGGACTGGGTAAAAATGTTATTTTCCATTATCATCAACCTTAGAAAAAACAATTAGATCTATTACTGCGTTTTCATTTGAGAAAGTTTATAATGTCTCAACACTATGTATGCGGAATAATTTATGTGTAGAAAATCATTGAATTATTCTCCAGTCTTTTTGAATATCTGAACATTGCTGCAAATGATACTGTTGTTCATCATTAATTATGGAACAGTTCTTCCTTTTCTCCCCTCTATGTGTATCTGAAACTAAAAGGTTGTGGTGCGACATTAGCATTATGAACAAGGAGGTATTTTTATGATCAAGGAGGTATTTTGCTGTATTTGCATTTCAAGTTAGAAGTACAATGTATTTATTGGTGGGGTTTTTTTCGCATCTTTTAGGGTTCAAACACAGTGGATTCACCTTTCCAAACTTTTTGGGGGGGTATCTGCCTCGCCTCCCATTTTTTTGGCGAATGTTAATTTTAATTAACAACAAATGCGCTATAGTGGGTTCGCCTTTCGTCTCTTTCGCTTGACTCCCCCCATACTGCAAAAAAGAAGTGGGGGATCTTCAACTAAGGTCTGCCCTTAAATTTCATTGGCTCCCACTGTACTCATATAGTGGCATTGTTTGCCATCATTTTAGAAATGTTATCAAGGAGAAGTCGATGCAACAGGTTTCATTTGTAGGAAAGATTTTGTAAAAATTGTCATTTCTAAGAATATTATTCACTAAATAATGGTATTTGCAAAAAGTAAGTGCTTCTTGGAGTTCATTGATTCTATCAACCAAACCAATATCAACGTGACATCGTTGTTTTAACTAATGCTGCAACATCAGCTGAGCAGAGCAATAAGAAAAAGATGAGGGGAGGAGGGTGAATCCACTCTGTCGCTTCCGGTACCTTTCCTCACATTTGTTTTAGTTGGTGTGAGGCCGATCCACTGTGTTTCTACCTTTAGTGTCTTGTCTACAGAGTTCAGACAGATTGATAAGAAAGAGTTCATGACTTGAACTAATGAATTTTGATTATTTTTTTCACAATTGAACACAATGAAGATTTAAATTATAGAAAAATTAGGGAGCTCATTTTGCCTAGACTAGTTCTAGTGGATGTAAGTAAATGTGTTGAAAGTTATGGATATTTTCTCCATGGTTTTGTAGAGTGAACTACTTATGTGTGGTGACTGTTATAACATGACGACAAGGTTATAATTGTTAGATTTGTACACAAATGAGGGGAGGAGAATCTTTATATTTTTGTACTGTTTAGTAGATATCTTTCTTTTACCTTTCATGTGATTACAATGTGTGTAGAGACGTATAAGGTGTGCAGATGAGAAAGTACAGTTTTTATCAGATTAATATATATATTCAGTAGGTTATGATGTAAGATTGTGGGTGGTTGGCTCCTACTTTGTAAGACCTTTAATCTGACCATATTGTGTTGCAAGTACCATAACAATATTTCAAAGTGTGATGGAATTAAATAATCTAGATTTGTTGAGTGGGATGGTTTTTACGTCGTAGTACATGACAAATGTGATTAAAGTTATAGATTTTGTTGTGATTTTATGTCTTATTGTAGTAGAGGTATAAGTACATTATGAAGAACCAAGTCAAAGATATCACGTTTATTAACAATATGTTGATGGTTATTCATAGACACACACACACACACACACAGAGAGAGAGAGAGAGAGAGAGAGAGAGAGAGAGAGAGAGAGAGAGAGAGA